CCCCAAAACCCCAAAACCCCAAAACCCCAAAACCCCTCCTTCAAACCCTCAGATTGAAAATATTTGAATTAGAATGCCAAATATTTACTTTACTGAAATATCTAATTGAGTGAATTTCCCTGATCTACATCCCAAATTGATTTTCTTTACTCCAAAATTACACCTTGTCTTCTAAATTCTTCTTTTATTTTCTCTTGTTGTCTGATCTCTCGCTCAATATCCTCTATTCTTGTAGACCCCTTTGAGGATTTTTGTATCTCCTGTTGCAGTTTTTTAAATTTGTTTGGCAGCATCTATGCTTTCTTCCTTCCTTGCTGTCATCTCCTGTTCTTGTTCAGTCCTATAGCTAGTATTTTTGCTTACCATTCAAGAATATCACTCTGTAGCTTACTAGAAAAATGAGCAAGAACCTTACCGATGAAGCTCGATATTAGTCAGATCTTCTATGACATATGTTAGCTTGGTGTTCCATCTGGAGAGTTCATCTTTGGCTCTACGAAATTCACGTTTATCTTGCCTCTTCTTCTCAAGCTCACGGTTTATAGCACCTCTTATTGGCAATGGAAGTTTCTTAAGAAAGCATGGTGACATTTCTATATATCTTTGTCTGAGTCTTCGTCAGCTTGGGTGCTTTTGCACTCAGGTGTCAGATAACTCTCACATTCCTTTATGGCTTCTTCAATTTCTTCTCCAATCTGGTCTAATTTATTCAATGGTGAAGGAGGAGAAGGTGCTTTTGGAAGTGACGTCTTTGGAACGGCCTTGGGCTTTGTAGTTTGCCTAGCAGTTCTCTGAGCTTTTTGTAATTCAGAGGAAGGTTTGTGTAGTCTAGGTGTCTTAGAAGTCTTAGAAACAATAGAAGATTGTACATTTCGAGGGATACTAGTGTCCTTCTCCCTTCTTGGAGTAGAATTTTTAGGTTTAGAAGTAGGGACAGAAATATTCCCTTTACCTCCCCCTACTCCTTTTCCTCTCTGAAGGAACTTCTTAGGTTGAGTTTGAGGAGCTTTTGCTTTATTTTCTAATGGTTCTTTTTCTTTTGATTTAATTTCATACGGCTTAGTGTCACTTGATTTTGATTTTTCACTATTTCCACTCTTGCTCGTTTGCTTCTTAACTGGTGCCCCATCCTTGAACTTATCTTTGTAATATGTATACTTTTTAGTTTTATTATTCCCTTTTTGACTTTGAATGATTGAGGTTGTCTTTCTTTTTAGAAATTCTTTCTTCTGACCTTTGCCTGAAGCCTTTCCATTTTGTATCTTATTAGGCTCTTCTTTTACTTCTTCTGTACTTTTGTCTTGATTTTGCTGAAGTTCTTGTTTCAGTAGTTCTTCAAATGTCAGAGCTCTGGAAGCAATTGGCATCTCATCAATATTCACTAAGTTCTCGTTGCGTTGGGGCATTTCCTTCACAGGCTGATTATTTGTCACTATAGGAACTTCTTGCGGATCTATTTTCTGCTCATTCCTCTCGTCAGATTGTGGCCTATTCTGAAAGCTATTAAAATTCTCTCTCTCGACAAGAGGTCTTTCTTCATGAGTCTCGAGACGAACATCTTTGTTTGAGTGAATAATCCTTGGTGTTAAATTACGATTAGGAGTGTTATCTATGTCCAAAGCATGTCTGTTATGATCATATTCAACTTTTCTATTATCCTGAACTCTCTTAAAGATATTTAAATTCTTTTTAGCTCTATTATCAAATGGGATATCAGAGATAGTAGGAACTGATTTCTGACTAAGACTACTCTCTTGCATATCAGAGTTTTTACTTCTGTAGGTCATATTAGGATCATTTTCTTCAAAAACATTTGTATTTTGAGGTCTCTGATTCCCAAGATGAGGTCTCTGGCTGAAGTTTTGAGGAATTTGATGCATAGTCTGAGGATTATTCCTCATGAGAAGAGCTTCTCCATAATTCTCCACTCTTTTTGGGCGCATAGGTGGTTTTTGGGCTGATACAAACTTATTATTAATCGGATGTTGAGACATAGGGTGTTGAGGCATCATATGATTTGTGGGAGTTTGAATCATGCTTTGAAACTGAGGTCCATGCGATTGACCTCCATGCATCGACGAAGCAATTTTTAAAAGATTTAGTGACTGCTTCAGTGTATTATTCATCTCTATATATTCAGTAAAAAAATCTTACCTGGACTTTGTTGGACTCTAGTACTCATTTGAGGTCTTTGATAATGAGTGTTTCTTTGAGGAACTTGGGACATATTCGGATCTTGCTTCACTAAAGAAAAATATGATAAAACCAAATATTTAAAATCAAAATTTTTAAAAGATTGGATATCTTGCTTCAATTTATATCATTGGCAAAACCCTAATAAAAAATAAGGAAGCAAGTGCTAGTGTCCAAGACTTAAAAAATTAGTTCTAAAGCATGGTGATAAAATGCTAAACTATTGATTCGTTATTGAGAATCTTCAAAGAGCAAAGGGATATTCTGCCAAAAATTAAAAACCTATCAGTGTGTAGTTAGTTTTTCAATTGTTTTATAAAACCTTACTCGAAAATGACTTTGGGTATCCTTGGGAGGAATATTTAGGAGTCCCAAATGCTCTTCCTCCAAATCCTAAATTCATTTCAGGCATTGCAGATGGTGTCCCATCAGATCCAGAAATAGAAAGATTCATTGGATCTTGGAAGGTTTGATGAAAGCTCTCATGTTGACTATATTGCATCCTATTTGACCCATAACCTGGCTTGTTATGTTGAGTCCCCATTGGACTCCGGAATTGTTTCTTGAAAGATCTTTTTGGAGCTTCAATATAAGAATGAAACTTACCAGAGTAATGGATTGACTCATCATACCCGCCTTGTGTATTTCTTGGCTCTAGAAATATCGATTAAAAATCAACTTCAAGTCATCAGTGTTCTAGTAATAAAGCCTCTTTTCATTCAAAGCAGTAATTATTCAAGTAAGAATTGATAAATTTGATTTATAGTTGAAGAATACACAAGATGAACTTGTGAATAACAAAATAAAAATGATTAAACTGCAAATCTATTATCTCCCCTCCATGAGGATATCCTGAAATATCTCAAACTTACTAGTAGCAGACTCATTAATATAAGTCGCTCTCATTCTGTCATACGAGGGTGGACCTTCTGGTAATTGCCTCTTGTTGGGATACATATTTAATAATATGAAATTCAAAATTAACATTATTCTCTGGGGTTTTGGGGTTTTGGGGTTTTGGGGG